CCATAGACTGCCCAAGCCTCCTAGCTGGCACCCACATTCAGAAGACTTCGTTCAGTCGAATGCTGGTTCTCCAGCTTTAAGACTGGTGCTCCTGTGCTCTCACTATATCAGGTCAACTGTTTCTATGGGTTTCTCCAGCATGGTCTTATCTCCTTTGCTCATTCCTCCTCCTTCTCTATGACTGGATTCCAAGAGTATGGCTCAGTGTTTAGCTGTGGGTGCCTGCTTTTGCTTTGATCAGCTAATGGATGAAGGTTCTAGGATGACAATCCAGGTAGTCATCAGTCTCATTATAGGGGAAGGGCATCAAAGGCAGACCCTTTACTACTGCCTAGATTTTTAGTTGGGGTCATTCCTGTGGATCCCCGACATTTCCCTAGGGCCAGACCTCTCTCTAAACCTATACTGGCTCCTTCTATCAAGGCATCTCCTTAAGGATGAAAATTGTGGTGATATATTATTTATGAGTTATTAAAACTTGTCTGAGGATTCAGAAAGCAGTCAGCCACAAGCCATAGAAAGCAGGCACACACCTTTAATCCAAGAAGCCAGAAGCTAGGAGGTGGTGGCACACACCTTTAATTCTAGGACTCAGGATTAAGAGGTAGATGGATCTCTGTGAGTCCAAGGCCACCCAGATCTACACAAGATTGATCCAGTCTTAAAGAGAAACAGTTCACACAAAGATGATCTCAGCACCTGGAATTACACGCCTGTAATTCCAGCACTAGAGGGATATTAAAGATAGGAGCAGGATATTTAGTAGTCAGTATCAGGGATTCATTCTCCAGACACATTGAGGATAGGAAGACATTCAGTCTCAGGATTTTACAGCCATGCTGAGGAGAGGCAACAGGATGAACCCATTCATCCAGAGGTAGTGGTAAGAGCTAGTGACTCACTACTTTGCTTTTTTTCTGATCTTCAGCTTGAATATTGAACCCCAATATCAGTCTCTGGGTCATTTATTTTTCATGTTTCAGAATATTATGAAGACACCATGCACTTCAGACGAAAAAACCCCAAGGCCCCTGACCTGGAACTTATCAGAGGGCTACCTCTCTGAGCACTAGGTTTCATAGCACCAGAAGGCAACATGCAAGCTTCCAAATGAGGGAAGCAACAAGCAGTCTTACTCAGCTATGACAGCTATGAACCCTGAAGATACAGTAGTTGCACATACATATTGGGGGTATCCAATTTCTTCCTAATTGAACCTAAGATATACTCAACAGGAAGGAAACTATGCCTGGTACCAAAAACATAGTCAACTACCTGGGGCTAGTGAAGTCATGGATCTTGCAGAAGAATCTACAATCACAATTTACTAAACCAGTATAAGCCCTAACTATATTTTAAATAGTTATCTTTATATCAACAGAAAACTGTATTTCCTCATCCACCACCAAGAAGCCCTCTCTTTGCAAAAGGATGAAGACAATTATAGAGAACAACAACCAATCAAGGTGCAGTCTTGAAGTCCAGTTCTAGCTGATACACCTACAAAACAATAACCGATCTTAAAGGCTCAGGGACCATCGCAAGATAGTTGATTGAAAGAATGTAAGAAACAGAGGAACAGGGAATTTTATCTGGGATTGTTTCTTCTAGAAGTGTCAGATGTTACCTATAAGGTCACATCAGCCTGACTACCCAAGCTGAACAAGGACAACACCAAATGTCATGCCAAAGTAAACACAGAAAAACCAATGATGCTTCAACCCTACACAGAGTACTACAGGAAACTAACACATGCTGTGAACAGGAACTATATTCTTCCCCATGGAAACCACGCCAATTGATTAATTAAAAATGGTCAGCCCTGAAAACAAGCGTATAAGTAACATTACACAGACTAAGGATGCTGTATTTACATATTTACAAATACAAACAAATGTATGCTGTTACATGTAACTCAGATTTAAAAAAAAAAGAGGTGATAAATTACAAAGAGCGTGACCTGTATATGGGAAAGTTTGAAGGAATGGAAGAGGGTAGGGAAATTATATTTATAATATAAATATATTATTTATATTATAATCTCAAAAACTAAAGAAAATTATAGCTTTAAAAATAGCCAACGATCAATGATTAGAATGTTTGTAGATTGAAGTTTCTGTCCTGCCTAGTCCCACAGCCAACTAGTCCCCCAAAACACACAGAAGCCTATGTAATTTATAAACTGTTTAGCCTATGGTTCAGGCTTGTTATTGGCTAGCTCTTTCTTAATTATTGACCTGTTTATATTAATCTGTGTATCTCCAGTGGCCAGGCTTATCAGCGATGCCCTGGCCTCTTTCTTCCTTGGCAGCTACATGGAATCACCTTGACTCCACCTACTACCTTTCTCTATCCCTGTTTGGATTCCTGCCTGACTAAATCCTGCCTGCCCATTGGCCAAAACAGCCTTATTCATCAACCAATAACAGAAGGACATGCCCCATCAAAGGTTTGTTCATAGTTTTAAAAAAAAATTGAATTGCAATGTCATCAGCATCAAGGGGACATGCAAATACAAACTGCTCTCAGAGTCTCTCCACCAGAGTCAGAGTGTCAGGGAATCAAAGCTCATGATGAGCGCAAGACTGAGGAGTAAGTGTCCACTGCTGATAGGGATGAGGACTACTACGGACACTGGCCATTCAGTGTGCAGGTTTCTCACTAGACAAAATTATAACTGAAATGCAGATATACCCCTGCTGAGTATACCATGAGACGCTACATCAACATACCTGAGTCATCCATACACCTGTGTTCACTGCTGCACCATTGACAACAGTCAAGACATGTGACCAGTTAGACATCCACCAAACAATGAATGGATAAAGGAAGCACAATGTGTTGACTCAGTACACTTTTTTTTCAGACATAAAGAAAAGTGACACCATGGCATTTGTATGGAAAACAAGGAACTGGTAAATTATTATGCTTAGCAAATGGACCTGGATTAGAGCATGTGTGGCAGGGTGGCATGGGTGGGTCAATAAATGTGAAGGGGAACCCTAAAATAGAGGAAATGCGCCTTAAGGTTAGGAGACCAAGAAAGGGATTTTTTATGTGAATAATTCGTGCGCAGAGGCCAGAAAAGTAAGGATAGTTTATTAACTAATCCTTCAGTAGGACAGAGGCCTGGGCAATAGCCGGGCTCCAGTCTACTGGGCAAAGCATTATGTGAGAAGATGCAGGGGCTGATTTGCATTTTGGAGGATATTATTTGTCTCATGGTTTTCTGACACGGACCTGGCACCATGAAGAAAGCAAGGTGAACTGACCTGTGTAAAGTTTGGGAAGTCAGCATGAACAGCCCTACATGTACTTCAGCTATATAGTAAATATGTATAATATATAAGGAGCATCTGTTGTATATATAGGAGGGCAATCCTGGTTGGTAACCTTCAATCACAGAGAGGAACTGTAACAGTTGTGATGCTGTTACTTTCAGCTATGGTATGAATGGGAGTTACATCCCACAGTCTCACATGCCTGTGCTTAGATGGTGATGGGGCAGGAAGATACTGAACAGGATCAGGGTGGAGGTGGGAATTCCAGACATTAATGTAGGAGAGGTAGCAGAAAATACATGACTGGACACCCCTAGCCTGCCTTCCAATGCCCTACAAACACTTGGCTATTTCTCAGTTAATATGTGCTCTACCTTCCTGTAACTATTCATGTGTGTCTGTAAGGTTCATTGTTGAGACTTAAGACCCTGGAAATGAGAGTGTCTTCCCTACATATCTGAATACATGCCTGTAACAATGGGAGAGGCAGCATGGGTTGACTGTGGAACCTTTAGGGTGTTCTGGAAAACTACTCCCTAGGGAAATAACTACCCAGGAACCCTGCACAGAAGTCAATGCATTTAAAATCTCAAAGTTCCAAGGTTTACCCAAAGGTGTCTGAAAACCAGGTGGTGTAGTTTGTGAACAACTGGGTTATAGGCATGAAAATCCCAACATTTGGTGAATCACGGTTTCTGAGAGACACCGGGGTGAATCACGGTTTCTGAGAGACACCGGGGTGAGGCACTTGTTCTTAGGTCAGAGGCTCTGCAACCAGGCTCTGAAAGGCCTCTCATGGGATGGTGATGGTGAAATCTAATTTGCACTGGGGTTCACAGAAGATGCTGAGACCAAAGTTATGGGATACCCACCAAAGCAAGCTAATGTTAAACATATGGCATGAGCCAGACAGAGTCTACCAGCCCTACAGGTATCATAGCTGAAACAATCAGTTGTCTGTGTCAGTCATGAAAATGAGGATATGGTACTTTATCTGATTGATTACTGTCTTGGTTTGAGCATGTTTTTCCTTGCTATATCCTCATAATTCCATTTTGGGATGGAAATTAAAATTGTGCATCTGTCTGTTACCAGTTTGTAATGTGCTGTCATTGTTTTAATTTCACAGATGGTAACAGTTAATTGACTTCCTGAAGTTTAAGGGATAAAATGGATTTTGGAGATGTGAACTCTCTGAAACTATGGTAACTTCTCAGGTTGGACTGAATGCAATTGCAGCAAGAGACAGTCGTTACGTTTTTGCATGAGTGGGATCTGCTGGGTTCTGATAGAGTCACTTGAGCATTGTTTACATCCCTGTGATCCTACACATCATCCCTTACATGGGTTCTCTGTAGTGACAGCACAGCTAGTACAGGTTGCTGATATGTTCATATGAAATGAGATTCATGGCACAGGATCAGGGCAGTAGACAGAAGGTGCCATCTCTGCACTGAATCCTTTCCAGTCACCAATTATACTTGGTGAACTCCTGCGGATTTAACAAGTTAGAATCCCAGAAAATTCCTTGTCAACTTCCAGATCATCGCAGAAAATGGGCACCTGAATCCCTGAAGACAAAGCTCAACCAGGGATGGGGAGCTGAGTCTATAATGAGAGAATCGTGCATTCCTTCTCCCAGAAGCCAGGCATACCTTCAACAGAAGGCTTTGTGACATAAAGTCTCATAGAAACAAAACCAGAAATAAAGTATAATACTTCATTTAAAGTCAAGCTTTAATTTTAGGATATTGTGCAAAAAGTTGTTAATGTTTTATTAGTGAGAATATGCCTGTTAGTTCACATCAGTGTTGATGTTCAATGAATTCAACGTTTTATTCCACAAAGTGATGGAGAGGACCCCTCCTGATCCTTCTTTCCCACAGTCAATTCTCCTTAGTATCATGCAGCTCACATCTTGGGCAGAAGCTCCTGAGGCAATGAAAGAATGATTGCTTTACTCCTAGGCTGTCTTATGTTCCCAATCATGCACCTCCCGTTATTCCAGCTGAAAGAAAAGCACATATCACATTGATTAGAAAGACTGCAGCACAGTAACTTTGGCAAAGTACTTCCCTGCAGCCATTTTCCTTCATGGTCACCATGTTTAATGCCCAATTACAGTACCCCAATCAAGGAGAAAAGGTTGTCATCCACAACCCAATATAAACTCTCTCCACACTTCATAAAGCAGAGTACTTAACCAGTGAACTGCCACTTGTTCCTCAGATGATGTCAGTGAGTACATGAGTTCCTTCTTGGTTTTCCGTGGGCAGGTAAGGGTAGGGATGAGATATTGTCATACCTAATCCATCACCGGTGTCACTTAGCTGTTCTCTTCTATATTCTCAGATTTAGGCAAATTTGTAGGGTACAGGTTTCCACTGTACTTTGTCATGAATTCCTTCTCAGTCTTCATGGAAAAGGAAACAAAACATTGAAAGCTAAGAGACTAACTATAAAGATTTGAAGTAAAAAAAAAAAAAACAGAACTAATAATCCCTGTCTCACCATGTCGCTAAAATAATTCAGGCCCATACAGTAGGTGGTCTTGCCCTTCTTATATTCCTTATTGTGCTTCTCAATTTTTTTCTTATTTTCCTCCCACAGTGCCCTTCTGTGTCCTTCTTCATCCTGGAGATGAACGCAACAGATAGTATTTTCTTTGTATTAACTCCACACACAAGGTGACCAAAGGTTGTGTAGTGACATGTAAATAGGACCCATGGAGAGGGATCTCAGGTCACTACAGCCAGGCAGTCTCCGCACCCAGAGCATCAGCAAGGCTGGTCCTTGAGTTCATAGTGCGTGTCTAAGCGAGTCCTTAGTGATGACTGACCTCTGTGGCCACCTTTATGTCTACAGACACCTAACAGCAAGGACCAGTCTTTCTGAAATCCCCCTGGACAGTGCCCATGTTACCAACCGGGCTGTATTTCTTTTCAAATTTCATCTTCCATTTCTCCCATTCAGCATCCAAACTGGGATCCCGTGATGGAACAGCTGAGGCCATTCTCAAACAGGAAGACAGCACTAACAAGGTCTCCAAAACCTAGGGAACAAGGAACTGTCCAATATCAAATGGTCAGCTCTGAAAATGCACACACACAAGTCTTGTTATGCATGCTGAGTTATAGTTAGTTATACACGAGTGAACAAAGGAGGCAGACTTTGAAAAGAATCAGGAAGGGTGTCTCTGAGAGTATGACGCAGCGAAGTGGGGGGAAGCAATGATATAGTTCCATTATTATCTTAAAAAAACAACAGCAAAAAATAAAAGCAAAGAAACAAACAAGAAACACAAAACTCAGAGAAAGAAGTCGCAGGTAACCAGAGCAAAGCTATGGGGACGCTTATGGAACATGAGTCGGCAGGATCCAGGGTCTGCGTACCTTGCTTGTCCCTGCTCTCCTGGAGTGTAGCAGCGTTTGTTTAAAGGAGGAAATCGGGACTGTGCTGTCTAGGGCTTCCTAAGAGCTGTTTATAGAGGCATCTAGTGGGGCAGGAACGGAGCAGGCTGCTGCTCCACCCTTTCCTTCCTCCCTGAAGCCTAAGCCTTGTTAATAGAGTAGAGCCATAAGCTGTCTTGACCAGTGAGTCAGGCACCCCAGGCAGTAACACATGACCCTGGAGACTGACCAGACCCCAGGCAAAAGCTGTATCACCTAGAATGTGACTTTTCTGAAACTCCTAAGAGTCAAAGATGCCCTATGTTTGCTTGCATAGTTGACAGTCTTGAGAAACAGGAGAATGGTGGGGAGAAGAACCCCTGGGGACAGTTAGTGTGCGCCACAGTGGTACGTCAGGTTGCACATCGGTGTGGAGGACACAGGCTACCCTAAGAACTGTGAAGGTGCAGCTGACAGCGCATTTGAAGCATCAAGCAATGTGCATCTGTCTGTGACTCTCTTGCCTGAAACTAGCCTCATACAGGAGTGTTTCCAGAGAGGATGAGATAACCAACAGGAAACAGAGCTGTAGGAAGCACATTTCCGTGAGACTAGACCATCAGTGTCTCAGCCTATGACAGACAGGAATGTCTTTAGAGTGGATTAAATAATCAGAAGAAAATAGGGATGTCAGAAATACTTGTCATCCAGCCAGACCATCAGTGTCTCAGCCTAGGGCTTCACAGCTTTAGAAAAAGCATTGGAGTTGCTCAAACTAAAAACATACAAACAAAGAAACAAAAACCAGATGCTTCGTGTGTGCAAAAAGGAGACCTAATGTATTTTCCTGGGCACAGAAAATTGTTATGTGGACCTTAACGTTACTCTGACTAGCACAGTTGGGCATATGATTACAGAGCAGATGTTGCAAAAATCAGAAAAGATGATGCAGGTTTGACTGAAAAATACAGAGAATGTAAATCTGGCTTGTTTCTATTTAAATACATCACATGAAAAGGTTAAAAAAAAGTAGATTCATGCCCATTTTCCTTTGAGTTTTCCAAGGTTTTATCGCGTACTTGTCAGACAGGTAATTGACATTTAAGGATGTTTATATAGAGTTGGATGGATACAGCCCTATAAAGTGTGCGTGCCTTCCCCTCAGTCATGATGGATTGCCAATGGCCATGTCAGAGGAATAGCAGATGGTAATTGAATTCAGAGGATCAGCCCACCGGGGAACAAAACTCTGATGAGTAAATCTCAGATAGGCACAGCCCTGAGAGCCTCAGCCCAAGAATGTTTCTTGCTACTGTTGTGTCTTTGCATGTTGGTTGCTGCCATCTTTCTCTGGTATCTGGCATGGTGAGAATGGGTGTGGAGAGATTCCCCCATTGCCTGTAATATAGTGTGTTTATCTCAAGGAAATACCCCATTCCACTGGACATTTTTAACCTGTGGATTATGATGAAGATGATTTTCTCCCAAGTTGTACTGTTCTGCTGAAGCAATGATTTTATACAAGAATGTTAGTTTAAACAAGATTTTCATTGTTGAAGGTCTTTAATAAACATAGCAAAGAATTATTTTAGAGATCAGTTTGGTGGAAAAGTTAATATAGGTAAAAGTAAGGTAAAGTGTTGTCACTGCCCCTGATAAATCAGGGGCTGCACTGGATAAAAAGTAAAGCCAGGAAGTGTCACACAGCTAGAGTACATGGTTTTCTTTTGAGGAGATGTATAGACTGTGACTTAGGTTACTAGTTAAGAAAAACAGTTGATTTATCAGCTGAGTAATACTCCACTGTGTAAATGTATCACATTTTCCTTATCTAAAATTTGGTTGAGTTGCAACTAGGTTGTTTACAAATACTGTTGCTATACACCTAGCTGAGCAGCAAGTGTCCTTGAAATATGATTGAGCATCCTTTGGGTATATGCCCAAGAGTTGTATCATTGGATATTTAGTTAGATTGATTCCAAATTTTCTGGGAAACTTTCACACTGATTTTCAAAGTGACTGTGCATGTTGTACCCTCACCAGCTGTGAAGAGTGTTCCCCTTACTCCACGTCCTCTCCAACATAATCTGTCATTGGCATTCTTGATCTTAACCATTCAGTCATGTGTAAGATGGTATCTCTGAGTCATTTTGTTTTGCGTTTCCCTGATGACTAAGGATGATAAACAATCCCCTTAAAGTCTTTCAGCAATAGGAGAGTCTTCTGTTGAGAATTTTCTATTTAGATCTGTACTCTATTTTTAAATTGGATTATTTGGTATTTTTATATCTAGTTTCTTGAGTTCTTTATATATTTTGGAGATTAGCCCTCTGTCACATGTGGGATTGGTAAAGATCGTTTTGCATTCTGTATGCTGCTGTTTTGTCTTATTGACAATATCCTTTGCCTTACAGAAAATTTTCAGTTTTAGGAGGTCTCATTTATTAATTATTGATATTGATGCCTATTGTAGTATTGTTATATTCATGAAGTAGTCCCCTGTGCCAATGCATTCAAGGCTACTTCGTACTTTCTCTTCTATCAGCTTCAGTGTAACTGGATTTATGTTGGTTTCTTTCATCTACTTGGACTTGAGTTTTGTGCATGGGAATAGATAATGACCTATTTGCTTTCTTCTACATGTTGAGATCCAGTTATTCAAGCACCATTTGTTGAAGATCCTTTCTTTTTTTCTATTGTATAATCTTGGCTTCTTTGTCAAAAACCAGGTGCTCATAAGTATGTGGATTTGTTTCAGGGTCTTTGATTCAATTCCATTGATCTGCATGGCTGTTTTTGCATCAATACAAGCTGTTTTTTTTTTCAAATACCTCATGAAATTTGAAGGCACGTGGATGACCTAGTAAAAAAATCATTCTGAGTGCTATCACCCAGACCCAGAAAGACAATCATGGTATGCACTTGCTCATAATTTGATATTAGTAATATATTATGGGTAAGTAACCTACAATCCACTGACCTAGAGTGGCTATATAACTAGGAGGGCCCAAAGGGAGATGCATGGATTTCCCTCGGAAGGGGAAATACATGAGATCCCCTGAGGAAACTGGTTGTGGTAGAGGGGAGAATGGAGGTATGGGAACTTGAGGGATTGAGTTGGGTAGGGTTGGAGTCAGTCCAGAGGCAGAGAGTAATAAAAGTTATCTTGATGGGGGAAGCATATGAGAGTTAAGGATAAGCCTAGCATCAGGCCCAGGAATTCACAAGGATAACCCCAGCTAAGACTCCCAGCAGGAGTGCAGAGGATACTTGATCTGGCCATCTACTGCAATCAGATTGGTGATGATCCTAGTTGTCATGGGAGATAATCTATCCAGTAATTGATGGGGGCGGATGCAGAGATACACAGCCAAGCATTGGGTTTGAGCGACAAGAGTCTTGCTGAAGACAGGCAAAAGGGGTATATGAGACAGGGGTTATGAGGGGAGAATGAGCAAAGACAGCTCACGTGAGCTCTTGGGAGCTCATGGACTCTGGGTCAACAGTTAGGAAGCCTCCATGGGACTGACCTAGACCCTCTGCATGTTTGTGACCATTGTGTAGCTTGTTCTCTTTGTAGGGCTCCTAGCAATTAGCTCAGGACCTGAACCTGGAGCTTATCTGGCTTTTGGGAACCTGTCCCCATGTTGGATGACTTTGCCTAGCCTTGACACAAGAGGAGAAGCTCAGTCCTGCCTCAACTTGATGCCCTAGGGAGGCCTGCTCCTTCCCTGAGTAGAGATGAGGAGGAACGAAAAGGGTGGAGGATAGATGGGAAGCCGAGGGGGGGACAAAGAGGAGAGGAGGGAGCAACTGCAGTTGCTTCATAAAATAAATAAAAAATGTAACTTAAGTAAACAACAGCAAAAAAGAAAGAAAAGAAAATGAAATTGAGTGGCTGGAATTCTTTTAATCTTAATATTGGGCTATGTGTTCAAGGTTTCAGAGATATCACAGCTGAAACAAAGCCTTAGAATGATCTCAGATTTGATTAAGATATTTTGATAATAGGTTTGAGGTTAAGGGTCAAAACACACAGCAGCCCACTTATTACCAGCTGACATACTTTCCTTGTGAATATTGGCTGTTCAAAGACAATGATTAGTTACTTGCACCCATCTCTACCATCAGTCTCCTGTGGTGATATTTTGTTTGTGATCTAACAAATAAAGCTTGCCTTAAGATCAGAGTGCAAAGTTAGAATCACTAGTGCCACAGAGGCCAGGCACTGGTGGCACACACCTTTAATCCCAGCAGCCACACAAGATAGCCACATAGGCCAGGTGGTGGTGGACCAGGTCTTTAATTCCACTACTTGGAAGGCAGAGGCAGATGGATCTCTGTGAGCTCATGCCCACCCTGGGCTACATGAGATTCATGCAACCTATAAGAGAAAAAGAGATCACAACTTTATTACCAGCACCAGGGAGGTGGAGAAAGGAGTTCAGTATATTCAGTCTGCAGGGAAGAGCTCATGTGTGGATCAGTCCTCTCAGACTGAGCTTTAGGTGGGAACTAGTGGCCAGGTGCTTTGCTTTCCTGATCTTAAGATTCTACCCAAACATCTGTTTATGGTTTTTTTTAATTCATGTTATAAACTAGGTCTTTAGAGCCAAGGTCAGCACCTTTAGAGGAATGGATCCAAGATACTATCAATAATGTGTCTCATGACCATGATGATACATGGATAGGAGAGGTGATTTCTAGAGGTTTGAAGAAAACTCAAAATATCAAATGTTCTAACTGTGGCAAATAAAGTCACCTTAAAAGGGTGTAAACAGGGCATTCCTAGAAACAATGTTTTTTTTCTAAGTATAATCTAAACAGAACTCCCTTACTTTCTAGATTATGGAGATGGTGTGGCAAAGTCAGGAATTGAACTAATGAATGTAGATCAAGAAGAGACATTGAAGGTAACTCTTTACCATTGGGAAACTCTTTCAGGACCCTATGCCAAATTCAGTTCAGTCATGTCCTGTCATTGTGGAGGAAACTCCTTTCCAGAGAAATTAAGGAATATAATGCCCATTGTAAGAAACCATACTGCTCTGGATGATACAACCTCTATAG